TCAACCAACACCCCCAGGTCCTTTTCTTCTGGGCAGCTTTCCAGCCACTCTTCCCCAAGCCTGTAGCGCTGCATGGGGTTGTTGTGGCCGAAGTGCAGGACCCGGCACTTGGCCTTGTTGAATCTCATACAGTTGGCCTGGGCCCATCGATCCAGCCTGTCCAGGTCCCTCTGCAGAGCCTTCCTACCCTCGAGCAGATCAACGCTCCCACCCAACTTGGTGTCGTCTGTAAACTTACTGAGAGTGCACTTGATCCCCTCATCCAGATCATTGACAAAGATATTGAACAAGACCGGCCCCAAAACTGAGCCCTGGGGAACACCGCTCGTGACCGGCCACCAGCTGGTCATTCACATGGCTGATTAGAGCCCAGCCCCATCATCACAGAGCTAAGTGGTATTTGTGTTCATGCTGGGGCTCTGCCCAAAACATTCTCTCCTCCATACAGCCTATTTAAAATTGCTTTGCCAAGGGCGCTTGGCTGCTCCAGTTGCAAACATGTAGGCTGAATTTCAGTGAAGGCAGATGGAAACGTCAGCTAGAGCCAAAATTACATGCCCCCCTAAAACAAAACAAAACAAAGTGCTGAATAAGCTTTGTGTATGTATAACTCTGTTAGGGTGTCCAGAGTGAAGGATGGTGTGTAAGTAACAATGTAATTTGCCCTCGTTTTCCTAGATACATTTGTTATTTTAGGAAAACTTCATGGTTTACAAATATTTATCCTCCAGGACTTACAGGATCTGAGTATGAGTCCACTTAAATTTTTGACATACCTTGATCTCTGTAAGTTTCTTTTTGGAAATGTATTTAATCTTCACAGGGTTTTTACATGATTTTTTTTTTTCTCTTTGTTTTTCTTTTTTCTCTCATACTGTAGGGCAAATATTTGGAGTGTAATAGGCTGTGACTTTACAGATACCTACATATTATGGAAATTTACTTAAAGAAGAAGAAAATCCTCAGAGAGCGCAACATTGCCTACTAAAATTGAAAAAAAACACAAAAGCAAGCACTGAAAACTGGTTTAAATGCATAAAGGAATTCAGCAGCAACTCTTCTCCAGCATCCTGCAATTATTCGAGGCCTTTCAACCCACAGCATCAGGAAATCCTGTTGAACTAATTCTGTTACAGATTTTTCTTCCCAACCAGTAACCACATACATAAGCAACTTGTGTCTTCTGAGAAAAGACATTCTGTCAATCTGAGTAAGACTGTTGGTCACTCATATAGAAAAACATATAAAGCAACTGTGTAAACAGTATGTTTCATTTGCTAAAATCCCAAATGTAGGAAAATTATACAGATACACGAATATATAGATTTTATATAAATATATATATATAGTCCAACTCTTATCAATAATATGGAATATACTTTTAAGAGCTTTTAAAACTTTGTATTTTTGTACAAAATATTTGCTTTTTACAATTGTTCTCTTTTTTACTGACTTTTTTTACAAATATAGTGCACAGGGGCCAAAGAAAACAATAAAGGTACTAATAATTCATTAAGGTTTGCTGTCAGGCCTAGCTCAGCTATAGAGAAATATTTTTCCAGTTAGAAATATTTGTACTTTCCCAGATGATTTGTTCTGGTTAAATAACTTTTAAAGCAGATTTTAGATAGCGTTTTCCTTATTATATGCAGTCTAGTCTGCGTGTGTAACAATTAAGTTGACTGAGGACTAGATACTCATTATAGCTCTGATCACAGCCAGTGTTCCATCGGGGTACTATGCAAAGACCATGTTAATAAAAGCTTTTCCTTCCTTCTTTCCTGCCTGTCTGCCTGCCTTTTCTGCCTGCCTGCCTTCTTTCCTGCCTTCCTGCCTGCCTTCTTTTGCCTGCCTTCCTGCTTGCCTACCTTCCTTCTTTCCAGCCTGCCTGCTTTCCTGCCTTCCTGCCATCCTGCCTTCCCGCCTGCCTGCCTTCCTTCTACTCATGAGAAAATGCCACAGAAGTAAACCTCTGAGGTTTTAGAATGATTTTGAAATGTTTTCATTCCTTCTCCCTTCTCGTGAGGAATTCTACCCCAGTAGGTGCTACCCACATTGCAAGTCAAACCCAGATGAAGGATTTTATGAAAATAGAAACAAAGGAGCTGCACACACTGAAATATGTTTCTTTTTAAGATCGATTTCAAAATTTGGTAAGAAAAACATGCCATACTCAGAAAAGTGTAATCAACTTGCACTTCTCCAAAGTGCTTTGTAAATTGGCCTCCCTGTTTTCTTGGACCAGTGCTTCCCTCCCAAACAAACTAGAAAATAAAATATGCTGCAAAACAGAAAGCAGTGTGGCTAATGAGATGATATCATCACCCAGACAGTTTCCTCCACGGTCCCATGAGCCATTGTCTAGGCAGCAGTGCTGCTTATCAGGAATTAAAAAAATTAGCAACGAGTTAAAGTTCATTAGCAGAAACCCTGGTTTCAGTTCCCAGTTTTTATAATCTCTGCACGGCCACACGTTATACCACGAAGGAAGTTGTTTTGGCTTCTTGGGAAGGAAACTTGTTTTTCTGTTGCCTCCTGACCTGCTGTTTACCTTGGCTGAATGCAGATAAGTTTGCTGATACTCCAGCTCTGTTGGAAAGAGACGAGATTTTGTACTTCAGATTTTCAAATATTGCTCCTAAGACCAACCAATTAAAGCCTGCTGCTTTCCTACATCCCACACTCCCTCCGGTGTTCATTCAGGGGGGATGGCTTTTTAATTTTAACTATAATTAGCTTAAAGAAAATACATGAAATGTTACATTTGGGAATCTGTCCTGTGGTACGTATTAGATATGAGACAGGAACAACATGAAAATGGCATATGCTTAATTAAAAGCAAAAGGTCTGTGTATTACAGCTGCAGAAACCACGTGTCGCCATGTTGGAGGCAGGGCTTTTCTCCAGACATTTTGGGCTTCCTGAGACTTTTCTTTTGGCTTTTTCATCAGTTTTTGAATACGACATGATTCCGCCATACACCCTGTCATGCTGTACTTAGGAGTTGTGTGTAGATACACACTGTAACGTTTACATATATATTTACACAGTGTCTGTGGAGATAATGTTAAACTGCTATATTTGGATAACGAGGTACAAAACTATTACTTTGCACACCCAGAGAGCCTCACAAACCCTGGTGAGTGGAGCTTTGCAGAGCCACACTGAGTTAGAAGCACTGCTACCTTTGTTTTGAATGTTGGCTTATTTAGGTGAAATAAGCCCATTCTGAGCATCTGCCACGTTAAATGACGTTCTTTGTGCTTTTTACTGATGTGATAGACTTCTGTCCACAAAAGAAGTTCATGAGAAACCTCTGTGTAAGCCCCAGCTGTACTGTTTCCTCGCCCTGATTTCATCCTTCTTTTCCTTCGGCCATAGGAGTGATGGTACATATCGAGATGAGATGATCCAAGAGTCATCTAGTGTCCTCCACAGTGTAGCTGTTAGGCAAAACTGGCTGGAGAGGGATGCTGCAGTTGCGTGCCTGGCATGTTCGGTCATCCTTAAAATCTGGCCTGAGCAGCCAGGCAGGCTGAGACAGACTATCCTTCTGATCCAGTATTCCTGCAGGAGGGAAACGGAGGTGTCAAATGGCAACAAAGATTGAAATCACTGGGAGGATCGGGAGAGTGTTAAGACAGCTCAGGAACCCGTCACAGAAAGGAGAGATTGGCAGGGATGCAAGCAGGACACCAGAAAGGGCCAAGAAATTGTCATGAAAGCCAGAGCTGCCACATGGGGTCTGGAAAACATCCCCATTAAATCTTTCTGTATGGTTTGAGCGATAACGCAGGTTGTATGGAAAGTTTTAAGTGATAGGAAATTATTTTGTCCCAGCTCGAGTTTTGGCTTTCCTTCTTATGCACAAATACTGTAACTTGGCATACTGAGTACACATTTCCATCATCCTTTTTCTTGTTTTACATCGAACTAAGTGCAAGTTCATATACCCTGGCAAGCACTGGGACTGTTGCAGGAAGGGGAGGGGAAGGCAGAGAGGGTGCAAAGTCATTGTGATTTACATCCAGTGCTGGATTTCTTAATGTCATTTCTGACTTCTTTCATTAATTTATTTGGAAACACCTTCAGCTGATTAGAGCGTATAAATCTCAAACTCTCATCCCCTTTGATGTCTATAAATAATACCTGCAAATGTTCCAATAAAGGAAGCACTAAGCGGAGACATGGAAGTGAATGTTGTTTACTCTGTGCGTGCTTCTGTAACCAAGAGAGATGTGGAGATTGGAGAGATGTGGAGCCAGAAGCTTTCGTAGGTATTAAAAATTAAACTGATGAAAATTACTTTCATTAAAGCCTTTCTTCTCACTTACACCGTCCTAGTTCTAAGCATGACTGTGGCTATTTTATCCCTTAATTGCAGTTTCAGTGTATTGTTCTTGCAGCACCTCGGTGCTAGAAACTTGGTTTCAAAGGTCTGAGCGGAACAAGACCTTTAAGAAGGTCTTAAGAAGCAAGAATTCCCTCTTTCAGTTCACTGTCCTAGCAGAAGCACGGAAAGCACCTCAGATGGGCCCCCAAGTGAAGGATGTCTTGACTCAAGCAGAGCAGGATCAGTCCCTAGATTAGCCTTTATTGCATCTAGCTTAAATCGGCTGTTTATAATGGCTAATCTGATCTTGCTGTTTCTCTCTCTCTCAGATGGCTGACCTCCTCTTTTAATTTTCTGTTCCTGGCAAGTAGCTCCTCTGTTTTTAGCAAGTAGCAGGAACTGGTCTCTGATCACTGGCAAGGCGAGGAGCTGGTCGGAGGGCGGCGGCTGGCTGTCGGAGGAAACCGCTCTCCAGCGAGTAGGGGAGAGGCAGCCGAGTCGATTCACGTGTGAAAAAACAAAACCACTTTTCCCTAGTGCAGCTTCCTTGGTTAAAAGCACAGCAGCTCACACAGATGCAGCATCCAAAGGGAACAAAATGTCTCCAACCCCAGCCTCCAGACTTGCTTTGCTTTTTCCCCCCTTACTTCTGCGGGTGTCTCTGTGCACCCTGGAGATGTTTGCTCCTCTGTGAATGCCCAGCTGTCCCCAGAGCAGGCTCTGCGCTGCCGTGTGCGGGCGTCCGGACTCACACTGGTGAGGGACGGGCAGCGGGACAGTGGGACACCCCACTCCTCCAGGGCCCAGGCAGGAGCAGGAGGAGGAGGCAGCTGTAGGGTTCCCGGTGCTTACTCACACTTACCCAGAGGTAGTTTGGATATCTATAGATGGGAAAGCACAGTGCCTTACAGACAAAACCCTTGTTCCCCAGAAACCAGGCCTTCCTAAAACCAGAGCCTATTTGTTCATTCACCATCTCCACCTCACTTTTTCCACGCTATTTAGTGAAAAGAAAAAACAAAAAAAACTTGGCTAAAAAAAATTTTTAAAGTTCTCATGTGTTTTCTTTCTTAGGGTGGAATACATTTGTTTTTTCTTTCCATCTGGCTCAGAGATGAAAAAAACATTCTTTGATTTCTTTTTCAAAATAAACTCAGTGTAACGCTCCAAAATTTGTGTAGAGATTTTTTTTTTAATACCAGAACAATAACAGCAAATCACTAGGCAAATAATGCTCTTTTTAGAGAAGATCTTGCATGCCATGATGATTTCCTTACCCAAAGGGCTTCCCAGAGGCATGTAAGTATTGTCAGCCCCATTTTGTGACTGGAGGAAAAAGGAGATTTTCAAGAATATGATTCATTTTAATGTCTCAGTTTTGGGGATTTTGTTTTCGTATGTTGGGGAGGTGATTTTTAGAGGTGATTTTTTCCAATGAAACCAGCATTGGCATAGAGCAAATTAATTTTCATACACCTCAGTGAAGGGAATGGACTTTTCAACACTAAATTGAACAGAATGGTGTCTCTCCCACATCGCCATGCATATGGGAGGTGATGTGGGAACCGTTTCTGCTGCTGTTTTGGAGAGCAGAGCTCAGTGTGATCACAGCGGAGCAACATCAGCCAGTAGAGACCAATGTCTTGTGTGGGTAAGAGTTAACAAATGACACTAAATTACCAAGAGACCCCTTGATCAGAGGGAAGAAGGTTAAAGGACTGCTGAGACTATTGACTCCTCTGCAGCCCAACTTCAAGAAATCTTCCAAAAAATGTACCAAGTTCTACTTTAAAAATAATTAGGGGTTTCTTTGCCCCTTTAATCATTTTGGCTGCTCTTCAAAAACTTTCTTAGGAACCTTCTTTTAATAACCAGCGTGAATGCAATTATGTCCAGTTTAGACACGTTTGTTCTCGTTCCAGTGCCATCCTTTAGCTTAAATGGCATCTCTCCTGGGACCGTCAAGCAATTGTAGTGGTCAGTGTGGAGCCATTCATCTTGAGACGCAGTAAGGGATGGTTGGGAACAAACACATCCCTCTGACCAGCCGGGGAGCCCTGACGACAGAGCCTGGCTCTGGTTCCACCATACAGCCCCAGAAGGGATTATCTGAGGACACTCTGGGCTTCTTGCTGAATGGTGGAAGTTTCCATACTCTTTTCTTGTTAGTACTGCTGGAGGACAGGGAGCAAGAACATGGGTATAAAGGATGGTTTCCTGCTGAATTATAGTAGGTTACAAGTGCTTGATTTTTTATAAAGTAGTGCCATGTTTTACAAGGCATTTGAAAAATTAGTCTGTAGGTCTGAGCTTAAGCACACTTATTCTGGTTTTATACCAGAGCAGAATCTAAGTGCAGGTCAGACTTAGGCCCTTGATCTTCAGGAGATGAAAATCTCCGATTCAGAGATTAGCATGTGGCTTCTACTTTTTCTGATCTATCTGTCCTGCCAAGGCACATATCCGCAGCTCAAGCATCGGTGTGGTTCCTGGCTCTGAGAATTGCTTCCAAACTCCCCGCATTCGCAGTCACGCTCCTGCCAGCCTTGCCAGAGGTCCTGCTGGTGGAAGCTGGAAGTCTGAAATGTGACTTTGGAAGAAGTTTGTCCGGGAATCCCTCTCATTCAGAAGTCTGGGCATATTGCAAAGATGACATTTCCTTAATTCCAGCTCTATTAGCCACACTCATATAAAGCAGATGATGAATTATTTTTCTGAATGGTAACAATGTAATTTTGTCCACTTTTTTTTAATGTCAAAATAAAAGCCTGGAGGTGGAACTTGGACAAAATATCCCTTCGCATTGCAGTATCCCACTGTAGCAGGCAAATAATGTTCCTGGATTAATGCCTGTGAGAACAGCATGAACTGATATTTAAACAGCAGACAGCTTAGTGCTATCTGCTTGTGGAAGCAAAATAAACTGCAGGTACAGCCTTGTTGCTGGTCCATCTTCTGATGGACAGAGGCAACCCCGCATGCCTGCAGTGTTTCAAAGAAACTGTGGGAGATAAGAGAGAAAAAAGGTAAAGAGAAAAGAGTTGAGGACAGAAAGGGAACAGAGAAAAAGAGAAAGAGAAATAGGCGGAGAATGATTGAGGAGGAAAATGAACCCTGATGTTCTCATCGTGGTTTCTAGTAAGTTCAACCACAGAGGAGCTTGCTTCTCAGAAACAATATAACGGCATTGTCGTGGTTCTCGTAATTCCCATTCTCGGTTGTGAAAAGAATACATCCTTGCCTTGCGAGAGAAGCATGTCATTCAGTTGGTGCCTGAAGTCATGTACTACTTTCCCAGCCCAAACAAAAATTCCTGGTGGCTCCAGGTCTCTAGGGAGCTGGTTTGGGGCTTTTGTTTTGGTGGTTGGTTGTTTTTTCCTACACGTCCTTTTCCTCCTACACAAGTTTTGAAACACAGAATATTTTCTAGTTTTCCAGCTGTATTAGAAGTACAGAGCTCGACTGTGGAAGAGATTAAAGCAAGAACATACAGCAGGTCTCCAAGCAACAAAACAATGTGTGCAGTGGGAAGTAGGTCCACAATGGTATTTGGACTCGTAACTCCTATTTCCGTACTAAACTCTCATTGGTATCTGCATTTGAACAGGTGCACTTTATGAACAGTCGAACATGCATCTTTAATAATCGTAATAAACAGCAGCAGAAATGTACAGATGTTGAAAAAGAGGAATTATTGAAACAAAAAGGAGGTCGTTTGGTTTTAAAAAACAGATGGACAATTGTTGAATTTAAACAGGGAGAGTTCAACTTCAAATACCCAAGTGCTTTTCTTGGGTAGGGATTTTAAAGGCGGCATTTTTAAATGACTGACCACCAGCTTTCCCCAATTTTTAACTTTAAGGGGCTAAACCTGGAGCCTGCATGGGACTCTCAACAGTCACCAGCTAGTGATTTCAAGCAAAAAGCTAATTTCAAAGTCAGATCAGATCTCTGCAGCCCATTTTATCCAGATTTGCCATGTTAGGAATAGGAAGGTGGTCAAAAGTCTGGGTCAGAGCTCTTCACTAGCTGAAATCAGCTCTCTCCTTCGTGTGTTTTGCAATGTTAGCTAAGGAAGAAAATATTTTAAACATAAGTTTCACTCAAGTATCACTGGGAGCACTTTATTTATTTAGCAGACATCACCACGAGGTCTCCCAGTCTGCGTCCATCTCCTGGCATTTTACATATGAGAAAAGTCTAAAAATAAAATAAACCCAGAAAAAACACAGGCAGAACAGCTGTTGTTCTACCCAGACAAAGCTCTGAATGAAAGCCATTATGATGGCGCAGACTGTGCAATTGAAAATCCATTTACATTTTCAAGTCTGATTCCAACTGTAAATCTTAGGTTATATATATGACAGATTAAAAGACTCTGGCCCCACTACACGTCTCCCTGGCAAGAGAAAAACCATCTGCACAGCATCACTCGTGGTTGCTTCAACTCTGTAGGTACACATTTTTAAATGACATGGTGGTATATTTTTTCATTTCCCTTCCCTTCATTTTCACATGCAGCAAAATCACGTGCACGGCTTTTTCCCCAACTCTGTGGTAGTTGGCACTCTGGCTAAGGAGACTGGTGTGTGTTTTGATTTGCTCTTTTCCTTCAATTTGAGGGGCTACTGCGCTATTTCCTATGTAATCTCACTAGCCAGGGTAAAAACCCTGTACGAATATATGGCTGTGAAACAAGGCAAAAAAACCAGGAATACTGCTCTCTTTCCCAAGCAGAGAGTGAAAAAGAGCGTACACCATGTAACAGGCTGCACAAACCCATCTGGAGCTGACTCCCACAGCACTCTGGCCACACTCTGGGCCTCGTGCTCCTCATGCTATGGGTAAGGGATGAGGGATGAGTCCTTCCACGTGGAGAGCCAAGAACAAGCTTCCTGAGCCCAAGCAAGCCTTGTTTTGACAATTTAACCACCAGCTGA